ACACGCTCCTGACCCGGCCTCGTTTCCACAGACTAGTCACTATCAGAAGAAAGTGATGAAGTCGACCTACTCGAACTACAACACGATGAGCGCAGGCAGCCTGGACGACCCGCCGACCCACGCCCTTGAGTCCCCGCCACAGTCCTCGCGTCCTGCCGGCACTAAAGGTATGTACATTTCGGCAATAGACACCTCACCGTTTCTCTGTCTCTCTCTCTCTCCTTTTTTAGAACCGTTTTTTATCGCTTTTTTTGTCAGTGTAGGTCTATCAAGGTTGCAATGAACAATTCAGGATATGTTCTCCAATGAAGTAAGCCAAGCTTTTCACTCATACCACATAAGCCACTATTTTTTTTTACTCCACTTCCCACATTGCTTGAAAAAAGAGCGCAGGAGAAACGCGTAGAGACCGCGAGGCCTTTGCTTTTTAACAGAAACTCAGATAATCTGTCTCAATCTTGAAATGCACATTAGGGTGAAAGGTGTTGCTGACGATTTCACAACCCTCTACACCGCGAACTTGATTTAGACAATATTTCTCTTTCTTGCTTTGGTGATAAAAGATTTTATTTGATTTTATTTGATACTTTACATAGATTAGATTAATCAATTAAAAATAGACTATACTAGTTCTGACAGGATTGGCAAAGTATAGTCTAGCTGAAAATCGATTAAGTTTCAGTATTTTCTCTCCCAGATATTGATATTCCGTAATTTATCAGTGATTTATCACCTGTTTTTACATCAACCAACACCTGTTTAGCAATACATTACACGTTTTGATATGAATAGTGCACCCTGACAAGAATCGAATCAGCAACACTTGAAGATGCATCCCAGAATAAGTGGTACTTTGTTCAAACTAAAGGGCCATAATTTATAGCGTTAAATGAAAGTGTATTCACCATATGATTGATATCCCACTTCTTCCTGACGTTGTAAATCATGGCCAGTTGCTAGTCCGTCATACTCTTTTAAGATTCAATCGTATCTCATATGCGTGGAAAATCAACACGCAATACAGTTTGATCATCACGTAATGTAGCGCCTCATTGCTTATAGAATCGACAATGCATATGGAATGTTACCATAGATCGCCTTGCCTGTTTGGTGATTGATTATATATGGCTGTTGGCCTGACTATTCTACAGCAAAATCCTTGGATGTTTTTTTTTAATTGCACTTGCCTTGTAGTCGCTTAAAGGGGCTAAGTCAAGCAAGTGTCTGTGCGTGTCTTAGTCAAATAGTCAGTTCGTTTATCCAAACCTCTGGCGTCCTCATGTTTTAGGAGTCCATTTATTTTTTGTTTTAGATCCTAAGTGTTTACTATCTTAGTCTTTATATCACTCAGAATTTTACCTAATTTCTAGTATTGTCTTTTGTCAATCAGTTCATTATAGAACAAATAAATACAATAACTTTTTTTATAGTAATGTAACCTATTTCCAGCTAATAAACTAACTTATATTTCAAAAACTCATTTGCAGTTATCAGTGCTTCCCAGAAAGTAGCAAACAAATTGGTTGATGCGCTGGCCAGTATAGGTGAGGCAGTGTTGTATGTTGCCCTCCTGTGCTACCGGTGCAGGGCAGAACTTTGTGTACATTATTTAACACGTGTCCTTCGCTGGACTGCTCCCCTCTCTCTTTCCCTGAATAAATACCTATTTCTTCTTTTTTTTTCAATGTACTCGATGTGGCGAAACTCATGCAGAAGTGTTGGCATCCCTTATTTTTTTTATGCCAAACGTTTTTTCATGAGTCGCTGACATTCTGAAGTACTGCACTATTGTTTTTTTTGTGCTCTGTGTCAGGTTGTGCGTCTGGACTAATCCATCTATCTGTTTTATTATGTCAAAAGTGTGGCACTGTGTGTACTGTGGATATAACTTTTGCACGAACAAGTTTTTGAAACCCATTTTTTTTTGTATATCATTCATATCACAGAATCCTGTCTTTTTTCGAAGCATCTCATAAATTATTAATATTTATGGAATGCAACACAATAGTCCAGGCTGCTCAAACCTGAGTTCTAATGCTTGGTTTCTGGAATGAATTTAAATCTGGACTTTGATTTTGAAAATTCTCTGTGAAATTTCAAGATTTCCAGAAATGAAGCATAGTGGTCACTGTGCTGGTGAATTCTCTCTTGAAAAACCAGTCTATAGTGTAGTGATATCTTGCAGAGCATGATTATTTTTAGCTATTCCAGGATTTTCCATGGTTATGAAGGGACATGGGCATCTAGCCTCCTCTAATGGGTATATGGAATTTCTATTGCATTTACTAACTATTTTTAGTTATATATCTAAATTTTCTCAGTAACACCATACAGACCTTTATGAATTTTGAACCTAAACGCATTTATGAATTATATACATAACACGGTGACCTCTGGAAAGACAGTGGTACTTTCGAAGAAGAAAAGTGGCGATGGTCACATTGCCTGCGTAAAGTGAGGGTGAACATACGGTTTGCAACGTTTTTTCAGTGGAAGTCACCGATTTTGACCCAGCAAAATAAGTGAATATTGCAATTGCCATTGTTTTTAAACACGTAAAGCTAAGCAGCAGTTGTAATGCCGAAGAGATGTTTATAATATCGTGGGAAATACCCGAGCCATGATGCCCAAGACCTCTGTCCAGAGGTCGAGCGTCCCGGATGGAACTGTGGTCTACGTGTTCAGCATGAAACAAGACTGTAATAACTCTGTCATAATAAAAATCCAATGTATAAAGTAAATCTCGTCCCCTCGTCCCCGCTTTTAATAAATGTAATATGTCAGCGTTGTTTGATATATTATTTTTAAGTGTGTATATTAAAAAAAAAAATCAAACTCATAAAACTTGAATGCTTACTCTTACTTTTTCACTGTCTTCATTTATTTTATTATGATATATATATTCATTTCATAGTCTTGCAATGAAGATCATTTTATTATTTTCGTTAATATACAGCTATCAAGTTAAAGTGGGTAAAATACATTACATAATTCCTCCGAGCATAGAGACGGTGCAGTAAGTTTGTGATGAAGGTAGCAGCTTGGTGATGTGGCTCCCTCTACAGGTGGGGAGGAAGGCTATGTCCCGGCTCCGGACTCCAGTGACACCGACACACTCAAAACTGACACCCTGAAAACTACAAAGACCGTTAGCTCAGATTACTCAACACTGGGGCGACTTCGCAAAAACATCAGGGAATTAGACACACTTATTGACTCCCTCGAAGACTCAGAGCAAGGCAGCGAGCCCGCAACAAATGCCAGCGCCGAAGCTCAGTCCGAGACGGTTGTCGTTGTAGCCAAGCAGGAGTCCAAAGTCTCAACACAGATCACAGCCCCAGCGCCCGAGGTCGCGGCCGAACCCGCCCTGGCTCTCACGCTGGCGACGGCGCAGGCTCAGTCCCAAGCGAGTCCGTCCTCGCAGGCCTCTCAAGAGTCACACATACAGACAGTCGTTGAGACTCGCAGCAGCACAACCTCCCAGCAGCAGGTGGCGCAGGAGAGTAAGTGGGTGGTGTGTGGCGTGCCGCTGCTGCCCCACGCGGCCCCGGGCTCTGCTGGTTCTCTGCCCGGACTGTTGCACCTTTTGCTGCTCTCCAGCCCCAGGCCCTTCCTCTGTACCTGCTTTGCCTCTCATGAATGTGACCTCTTCTCGGAGAGGGTCAGGGGGAATCGAAGGATTTCGCTCACGATCTGAGACATGTCATATTTAGAATTATTAAAGTTTGCCATGTTATCTAATAGTATATAGTTCTCATTTTTAAAGTTTTGCAAGAGGTAAACGTGTTAGAGTTGCATGATGAATACCTTATGTATACAGTTCAGGTGTCGATGTTTATTAACCCATCTTTAATCGAGTATCATTTCTAGCAAAACTGCAAATAATTTGGAAAGTATTAATAGCTATTTTAAATGGTGGCTTATTGGCAAGCCACTTTGTGACATGAAATGCCATGAGAACAAAACAAAATAAAAGAGAAATAAGTAGAATGTTGCCACCTCACGTAAGATTCAGAGACGCAGATTAGCAGAGTAAAAAGTCAAACAAATAGCTTCCCCCATGAAACGTGTGCAAGGACCTATTATGCGCTGAAGTGCCCAACACTGCATGATCACGTGAGTTAGGTATCGTGATAACGAGGACCTAACACTCACAGTTTCACCATTTGGAAATAATAACGATAACCAAGACTAGGATGTGGTTTGACACTGTTTCCCCCTGGATTAACATGCTTGGTTCTTTGTCTGTGCCCTGGTGTGGTAGAGCATGTCACCTCTCAGTCGCCTTTGCTGAGTCTTTGGGAATACTGTCTTAGCACTGGAAAGTCTTTTGCGATTATGTATTGTTACCATTGTGTCACTGTTGTTGTCGCGGTCATATATTTATCTATAATAAACGGTAACCCAGTATTGACATATAACTCATACTTTGTTTTAACTTAAGAAGAGAATCTTGGTATTATCTTTATCTATGTTGCAACATGCTGGTGTTGTATTTTAATCCAACGTTTTATATTCCAATAATCAACAGTGTCTAATATCTACCCTTGACTGACCAATAAAAGAAAAGAGCGATAACCCCCACATTTGAAGTCCCGCCATAACCCGCCCAGATGTTCCGGCAGCCCTCTGACTTGCCTTTTCCCGCAGGTACAACGCCGTCCTCTGGCCTGACCAACGGCACCGCGCCCGCCAGCCAGCCTACAAGATACGAGTGAGTAACGTTCATACTATCTAAGGCCTAAGACGAGAGTGTAGTCACTATGCAGATATTGCCTGTCTTTTAATATATGTATGCGGATGTCATTTGTTTTAACCTTATATATGTAGTGTCTCTATATTCATGTCTAAATCAATATCTGTTAAATCAGAACATAAAAAAAAACATGTATGAATTTGAAAGAGAAAATTTGAAGTAATGCTTCATACTCCGTCACAATGTGTGTAATAAACAACACAATACAGAATGAGCAACTAAACAGAAAAAAAGTCCAAAGAAAAAATACAAATTAAATGGCGAAAGGAGCAGCATTGTGACATGAACGGTCCTTTTGCAGTGGTGACGATGAGATGATCGACGACAAGAGCGGCGAAGTGCGACGCATCGTCTGGCGCAACAGGTTCGAGAAGACCTACGAGACACAGGACTCCAGGCCGACGGCCACGGTGCGTTCATGGCCCGATTGCTGGAGTGTGTGTGTGTGTGTGTGTGTGTGTGTGTGTGTGTGTGTGTGTGTGTGTGTGTGTGTGTGTGTGTGCGTGTGTGTGTGTGTGTGTGCGTGTGTGTGTGTGTGTGTGTGTGTGTGTGTGTGTGTGTGTGTGTGTGTGTGTGTGTGCGTGTGTGTGTGTGTGTGTGTGTGTGTGTGTGTGTGTGTGTGTGTGTGTGCGTGTGTGTGTGTGTGTGTGTGTGTGTGTGCGTGTGTGTGTGTGTGTGTGTGTGTGTGTGTGTGTGTGTGTGTGTGTGTGTGTGTGCGTGCGTGTGCATGCGTGCGTGTGTGTGTGTGTGTGTTTGTGTGTGTGTGTGTTTGTGTGTAAATATATATATATATATATATATATATATATATATATATATATATATATATATATATATACATATTCACAAATCATAACGTTTCTGCCCGATGAGTTAACGATCTGCATTTCCAGGTAAGCATCGAGGACGAGGCCCGCCGCCGTCAGCTGATTCAGCGTCAGCAGCACACCTCGACGTCAGCCTCCACCTCCACGCTCTCCTCTCCCCCCGGACCCAGCTCTCCTCCGCAAGTGAGTCCTCAGTTTCTTGACTCCCGACTTTTGGGACAATACAAGTAACTGGACAAGACTGTCATCATTGTATTTTCAGGGGACAATGAAACGAGTCTCGAAATGACCGATCACTGCTTGACGTTTGTGTTCCTCCTTGTAACTGCTATACGTGTGATTCGAATATCATATTTTGATCCCTTTGTATTTTCGTCATAACAGTTTTTCCAGCATCTCGTTTTTTCGAGTGACAGCATATATTTACTAAAATACAGGGAGAGAAGATTAGAAGAAAAGATTGCTCTGACTTTTTTGCCCAGCTGACTTAGCTCATATTTTCATTAACTACCCATATTGTATGATAATTAGTACTAAAGGTCGTCGTTTGTCTCATAGAGCCATGATTCTACAGATTTTTTGCATGAAGATTGAAGCAGTAATGTCATGTTAAGTTCAAATTGGGACGATGCAAATTTGTTTGAAAATTTCTGCAAAAAACTGTAGTTAAAAAAAATAATAATGCAAGGAACTGTGGAATCATGACTGTTAATATTACTTGTCAAATATGTCGCATCCACTCACTGACCACTGAGATATTGGTTATACAACCAGCTATCTGAATATGATAACCTCTTGAGTAGATTTTAGAACCTTTTAATCGTACTGACATACCTTTACAAGCATAGTACTTGTGGGGCAAGATCTATATAAGTTTGGGATACCCAGGGCTACACTCGTAAGGTACAGTAGGTACACCAAGTGGTGACTGTCCTTGTTACAGCGCGGGCCGTCCTCGCCCCGACTGCCGCAGTTGCAGTGTGCCGTGTACTGGCCTGGCTTGGGCGCCGGCCCCAACGTGAGTGTCCCCCCTAGGCCAAATGTCTCCAGGTTTTTCCGCAGCTGCCTCCTTACAGGCAACAGCACGCCCCCGGCCACCCCAACAGCTGACACAACAGCTAGTACCGAGCATGGGGCCAAAGCCCGCCTTCACCCTTTCTTTCCCTACTACATTTTGACACTCTTTAATGGAACTCCCTTTTATCTAAATGTTTCTAAAACTGTGTTCTTTTCTAACAAGTAGTATTAGATGGTTAGTTCGACATATGAGAAGCATGTGATCAAGCCTGATATCTCTCTTCCGTTTGTGTTTGACTTGTCTCAGCAAACTCCTCTTCAGTTATGCATATTTGTTCTGTGCAGATAAAAACGATTCTTAGAGCTCATTAAGATTCTTGGAGTGTCGAGCTGTGTATTCACTTAATTTAGATAGAGTTGCAATCGTATTTAACTGTAGACTCTTAGGCTCTTCAATGTGCGGCCGTAGAAGACGAAATACGGTGTCATTATTATAGCATGTAGCACTAGGCTTTGACACGGGAATTGATTGATTTTGCGACTATGTGAATTATTCATGTGTACTTTAAATAAAGTTTTCCCTTATTTAAATCGAAGACATGCTTAACCGATCATATCTAATCTCGCGACTACCCCGCAGGTATCTCCCGGAAGCCAGTCGTGGAAGGACCCGATCCCGATGCCAACGCCGCCACAGCTCTCCCCGAGAGAGCCGGGCGTCGCCTACATCTACACCTACGGGAACACTGGAGGGTCAGGCGTGCAGCACATGCCGCCGCTGAATTACGTCACGGTTCCCGGTCCCTCGTCGGTGCCCCCGAGTGAGGGCGCGCCGTCGCCCACCCCGTCGCAGCTACAGGGCCCGCAGCCCATCATCTACCACTACTCTTATCACTACACAATCCAGCCCGGACAGCCACTTCCCGACGGCGCTCCACCCCCTCCAGGAGGACTTCCTTCAGGGTCCCCGCCAGCTCTCCAGATGGCTCCCTCCTCCCAGCCGCCGTCCTCGTCCACCGAGACCATTCGCACAGTTCATCAAACCATTTCAAATCAGTCTGGCCAGCCCGGCCAGCCCGGCCAGCCCGGCCAGCCCGGCCAGCCCGGCCAGCCTGGCCAGCCTGGTCAGCCGGGTCATCTCGTCCAGCCAGGTCAACCCGGTCAACCAGCCCAACCTGGTCAGCCAGGTTATCCTGGACAGCCGTCCTCCTCTGTTACCAACTACAATATCCAGTCCTACTCCTCCAGCAGCCGCTCAAAGACATCCACGCTCACGCACACAGACACATCCACAGTATACCCTGGTGGTCCTGGGGGGCCCGGTGGTCCTCACGGCCCAGGGGGTCCTCATGGCCCAAGCGGCCCTTATGGCCCAGGTGGTCCTCATAGCCCAGGAGCGCCTGGTGGTCCTGACGGCCCAAGGGGTCCTACTGGCCCTGGGTATGATGGACCTGCGCATCCTTCCAAACCTTATGGTCCCGGTGAACCCGATGGCCCCGGCAGAACCACCGAGCCTGGCCAGCCCGGAAATATTTCCATCACCATCAATAAAACGACAACAACGCGTACCACGCACGCCTTCCCGGGCGGTCCTGACCACCCTGGAGGCGCTGGCGACGTCCCCCCTGTTACCTCAACCCCCTACCCGAGCCGCGGCAGGTCTGTGTCCCCCGAGCCACATGGCCCGAGGAGCAACTCGCCGCACCACGTGACGTACGTGACGCACGTCACAAGAAACACGCACTCCGACTCCCTGGACCGCGTCAGAAGGCCAAAGAACGAGACTCTTCCATTCCCCAACACCTCGCCCATACGACCTGCTGGAGACAACAAGATCCCTCGTCGAGTGGATGATCTCATGACGTCATTCTCCGATTCCGAGGTAAGACGGCGGACGGGACAGGCACCGCCAGTTCCTCTCTGGTTCTCATCTGTTACACTGCTTTCTTATCTTGGCTGGAGCTTTAAACTTTTTTCCCCTTTTGCAGCATTATATTACCAGTTTTGAGAACGAAATGACCTTGCGAAAACATTCCCCTATCCCAAGGAAAGATGAGGTAACTTTTAGATGGCGTAGTTGACAGTCATATGCGATAGGCCGCTTATTGTGTCCATTAGATGACATGTTTTCGTTAGATTAGATATAGTAGAATATAGATATATAGATATAAAATGGCAGAATGGCAAAAAGAACATAGACGTTTGAATTAACTAATATTTTTTTATATAAATAACGCTAGTAGACTTTAGTTGCCAGTTATAATTCAGGCATGTTTTACGATTTTACATTACCCAATTAAATATATTATTCCGCTTAGCCGATTTGAAAGAGTGAATGGCAATAATGTGCATATGTAGATGCATAAAATAAACATATATAAACAACACACGTATATAGAATATCTTAATTCACCAATTTGGCTTTAAGGACTTTTTATCATTTGTGCAATACAAGGACAGTGAATCAGTTATTTTATTCGTACATCTCAATATTAGTGTAAAAAGCTAGATGGGGGTACCAAAACGTTTATTTATCATATTCACTGTTCTTTAATTAATCTAATTTCTTCATTTATTAGCTTTATTATCTGCTTATAATGAGGGCAATTTGTACAAAACCAGAATACAGAGCCGACTGAATGAACCAAAAAACATCAAACTTGATATATAAGCTCACAAAATAATTTGGATCCATTAGAACTCTAACGTGTAATAAAAATATATAAGCACACGTACTCATAGTGCTGTTTAAATTCAAATTGATTATCCTTATATAACTGAATCACGAAGGTTCATTTTATCGTGTTGACACTATTTTCGTAATAGAATGTGGATATGACACAGCTAGTTGTGACAATAAGGATTTTCTCACAATAAAAACATCTGTAGCGAAATGTTTAAGAAAATATCTACTTCTAACGATTTAGTTAGTATACTCTTGCATGGATATTTAAATACAATTCTGAGCAAAAGAATACATTAAACTATATACGTGATATCTAAAATTATTATATTATTTGTCTTTCAAGAATGAATATCGTCAGAATATATTACTTTCTACGCTCATTTCATTTGAATATAATTCATATAACTATGATAATGTCTGAGATTGTGTCATAAATTGGGTTACAAGATACTGATGCTTTAAAATCTCCAGGATGGTCCAGGCCACCCGAGGCACTCTCCACACCGCGGAGACCCAGCTGACCAGCAACCTCTGCTGCCACAAAACAGTCAGGTAAGCTTATTTGTAATTCATAATTCCGTAACTGGACTTCTGTTATGTTCTGGACTTCTAATTCTCCAACAGTTCTAAATGTTTGTTTAAACTTCTTTCTATTTTGTTTAAGATTTGTCTAAATGTTTGTTCTGTTAATATTTATCCATCACCAGATTGTGGTGAAGGCTGATGCAGACGCCAAGGCCATCGCCGAAGCAAACGCAGATCCGAAGAAAGAACCAACGAAAAACAAAGCTGGACCTCCCGTCTATTATCCTCCGGGCCATGAGCTCTTCCACGAAACCATGCACGTAAGTATCGGACATATTATAAAAAATAACCGTATGACTTCATAATTGTCTCGGAAATAACCCATTTAGAGAAGGGAAATCAGTGGGAAACTCTGACAAAACACTTGTTGATATGTTGTATTTAACATCTACCGTGTTGCTGCTTCCAGACTATGACGCTGAGGGAGGGCGGTGGTCGCCGAGGGAAGGCGAAATGGAGAATGGAGCGATCTGCAGGATACAAGGAGAGTTCTTCCCATTCTGAATCCAAAGGAGGCATGACAATGGTGCCCGTCTGTTTGCCACTATGCTGTGGGGCCGCTTGCGTTGTAATGTAAACATCTGCTACTGCCTTCGTTCAGGAATTAAGAAAGGAGAAAAGTAGAAAAAATACAGAGAAAAATATACTTCCGTCGGGCATGCTGTCACGATTTAGTAAGGATGAAAAACATAAATATACATATTTCAATCCGGAAATATGCGCGATGTTTACAGACGATGGACGTTTCACTGAAAGCTGCCCAGATGAGAGGTATGAAGACCTCAGTCCTGCCAATTTTAATGCATATCTAACTATATAAGCTCATGAAGACTACTGCTTACCCTCTGTTTGTGCTTAATTTGTGACTGATTTCGAGAAATATATGTAAAGCATTTTCATGACTGCATGAAAGAAACGAGTTTCAGTGTAAAATGAATTACGTGTCTAGTAATTCGATTTTAGCATTAAATGGTGCTACATATAATATTTATGAACGTAATCATGCATTGATTAAAATTTGCATCTTCTTACGAAAAAAAAAACTACAAAAATCGCATAAACTATTTTAACTGTAGCATAGTTTTGATGTGGAATTTCTTGTATACTGACTGTATAAAATGTCATTTCTTTATTCTGCAGTTATACTGTGTATATTTCATGATTAGATTTAAATGATTTTTTTCTTAATATGTGTATTTTTGAAACAAGTAACACTAATCAGTGAATACTGATTATTTCGTAATTCCTACCATTCACTCATACTTTTACTTGCAAAATGTAGCGTGAGTGGCTGCCAAGTGTTTGAAGTATTTTGATATAAAACCATCAAGATATGTGTTCATACATTTTAAAGATATCTGTATTTGCTTTACAGCTGGGATGATATCTGAGGTTTCGTGTATTTGGTTTTAATCAGATAAATTCCACGTTTACACAAAATTTCATTGTCTTCTTGATCTCCTAACAACATTTACCCTTACGCTATAAGGATGATAATTAAAAAAAACAAACAAAAAAAATCAAAACATGGATATCACAGGTTGTCTTTCACATAAACCCGTATATGAATTAACACGAAGGAAATATTCCGTATCTGATTAGACCCGAAAAACACACAAACCTTCTATACCCTACGTAACGATGGTTGTTGTGGTGCTCGTCAAGAAAGGTCCGCCTCCTAAATCATGTGACTCTTGGTTTGATATCATATACATCCAGTTCTCAGGTTACTTTATTAGGTTATGTGTGTAAATGAAACCCAAAGCTCAAAGAGAGAAAAAAAAGAAAACAACTTTAGAACTGTGAAGTGCGCGTCACATGAATTGAATAGGTTGACCATAGCTTAAGGCCTCCTAACCTACAGTGTGCCTTACAGGTAATCTCCTGTATTTGCTATATATTTTTGCAATGTTATGCATATTTTTTTCTTTGGAGAGTCCAGTGTCATGTATATGCCGTGTTTTGCATATGTACAGATGTAATTCTTTTGGCACAGGTGTCGAAAGTTTGCCATAATCATTAAGTTTAAGTAGTTTTTTTTTGCATCACCAAGAGGAACATTGTGCTATTGAAATCCCAAATGTGGCAAGGAGGAAAGTCACTGCAGTGTGCGAAGTTGAACACTGAAGACAGTTCACGTCAGATGTTTGTTTCCCAAAGGTTACCCGGTGTTGAGGCTCATCGTGGACGGCGATCGTATTTTACAGACATTAGTACCCTAGAGTGCCTATAATATGATTATATATGTGCAACATTTCAAAGGCTTTTTTTGATCATATGTGACAGTTGAAACTAACGAAAATATAGATTTCATGCAATATCGTTGTTTTTTTACGGCATCCTTAATCCTTGCGGGTTCGACAGTTTTTCTACGATGTTTAGGGCCATGTACAGGTATTTCACATTCGGTATTTTATTGTTACAAATATATCATGTTTTCCACTATATTTCGGGGAAATTCAACGATTTGTTGAATTAACAACCTGAAAGGAAACTCAGTCCAAACTCTACAAGGAATATTAAATTTCACTAAACTCTTTAATACCTTTTATAACTATCCTTCATTGTTCTCGGAATACAGAGGAGTCAAGGTCCTAATAATCAATATGTGATTACTGGTACTTCAACA